TAAATTCTCCCTATTCTGAAAAGTAGGGATCTGATGGGCTACATTGACGACACGGTGCTATGTCCTGCAAAACATGTTGATGGTTCAGCTACTGTCAATCCTGCGTACACAACTTGGGTGTAGCATGATCAAATGATTCTTAGTTGGATTAATGGCTCTCTCACTGCTTCTGTCTTGTCTGTGGTGGCAAGCAAACGAACGGCTCGAGCTACCTGGGAAGCTCTTGAGCAAAGGTATGCATCCACGTCTTAAAATCGAATTTTGTTTCTGAGAAATGCGTTGTTGCAGACAAAAAAAGGTGATCTATCTGTGGCGGATTACCTGGATCGAATGAATGCACTAGCTGACAACTTGTGAGTGACGACGAACTGGTTCAGATTGTGTTGAATAATCTTGGGCCAGTGTTCGAGATGACTGTGAGTGCTGCACAAGCTCGTGACACTCCTATCACTTATCCAACTCTTGAATCCTTGCTGCTGACTACGGAGAGGAGACTGGCAGAACACACCGTTCATTCGGTTGAAGGCACTGTTGTCAATGCCTTTGTAACTTCACGTGGACGTGGTGGTGGACGTTCTCGTAGTGGAGGACGCGGCAACTCCTCCAACCGTGATGCAGCTCCGAGAGGGAATAACTCTCGCAACAATAATGCTCCGCAGAACAACCACGGTAATGGAGACAGGTTTGTTTCTTGTGGAGACAGAATCGTTTGTCAAATCTGTGGTAAACCAGGACATCCTGCTCTTGACTGTTACCACCACATGAACACTGCATTCGAATGCCACATACCAGCTGCACGTCTTTCAGCGATGACGTCCTCACCTATCACCCTGAACAAACAACAGAATGGCTCTTGGCTCCTTGACACCGGTGCCAATGCACACATCACTCCTGATCTTCAGAACTTGATCAATCCCAAAGAATACAATGGTAATGAAGGCGTGGGAGGTGTAGGTAATAATGCAGGTATCTCGATTGCACACTATGGTTCAAATACACTTGAAACTAATGCTTGCTCTTTTATTCTACGAGATGTCCTTCACTGTCCAAATGCATCCACTAATATACTCTCTGCCCATAGGTTTACCCTAGATAATGACTATTACCTAATCATTTTCCACATTTTTTCCTTGTCAAGAACCTAAAGACACGAAAGACGCTTTTCCGAGGGAGATGTGAGAATGGGTTGTACCCATTTTCAGATGGCAGTGGACATTTCAAGCATTCTGTATCTGCTTGTGTGGGAGTAAGGGTCTCAGCACAACAGTGGCATGCTCGTCTTGGTCACCCTGCCACACCAATAATTAAATTTTTAGTTTCAAATAAAATGGTACCTATTGATGGTGCCTGTGATGTAACCTTTTGTGAGTCATGCCCTCTAGGTAAAAGCACTAGGTTACCTTTCAATATTTCCGAGTCTATGTCTGAATTTCCTTTGCAACTTTTACATTCTGATGTGTGGTGTTCTCCAGTTATTTCTAATGAAGGTTTTCGTTATTATGTTTTGTTTGTTGATGATTTTTCGCGATATTCTTGGATTTTTCCCATGAAACAAAAATCTGAAGTGTTTGAAATTTTTGTCAAGTTTAAAGCCAAAGTTGAAAATATGTTTAACTGCAAAATAAAAACTCTTCAATGCAATGAAGGTGGTGAATACAAAAGTCATGTTTTCCAACAATTTCTTGATGTTCATGGTATTTCACAACGCTTTTCATGCCCTAAACATCCTGAACAAAATGGTTTAGCAGAACGCAAACATCGCCACATTGTTGAAACTGCCATTGTCATGCTTTCCAAATCTTCCATGTCCAATAAATTTTGGGTTGATGCTTGTTTAACTGCTACATACCTAATCAATCGCTTGCCAACGCGTGTGCTTTCAAACACTTCACCATTTGAGAAAAATTTTCAGAAGAAACCATCTTATGACATGTTGAAAGTTTTTGGGTGTCGTTGTTTCCCTTGGTTAACACCATACAATCAACATAAATTGCAACCAAAATCCAAACCATGTGTTTTTCTCGGGTACTCACTCAATCATCAAGGATACAAATGCTTGGATCTGTCCACGAGACGAGTTTATTTGTCTCGCCATGTCCTATTCGATGAGGACTTCTTCCCTTTTAAGGGACTCACATCTTCTTCTGAACGTGTTGATCCTCCAGGTAACCATTCTTTACCCCCGTTATTCTTTACTTTTCCCTTCTCTAGTAACCCTACGCTATCTGCTTTGCCTCCTTCTAGCCCCATTGTTTCTTGTTCTTTCCCACACGTCACGACCTCCACCCCATGTTTCGACTTCCCTAATACTACCATAAGTCCCGAGCATCCCACCACCGTGCCAAATACGACCTTGTCCACTGTTGCACCTAGTCGGCCTTTAGAACCATCTCTTCCATCCAATGAGCAAGTATTAGTGGATTCTCGACCTGTGCATTTTGATGAGCCTCGTGATACGGGTCATTCCATGACTACACGTTTCAAGTCAGGGGTTATCAAACCTAACACTAAGTATGCTATGCATGTTGCAGTTGATTATGTTTCTGTTGAACCTACTTGTTACAGTCAGGCAGTTAAGCATGAGGAATGGCGACATGCAATGGTCCAGGAGTTCAATGCTTTACAACGGTGTGGGACGTGGACTTTAGTTCCATATCATCATACCATGAATGTGCTTCCCAATAAGTGGGTGTTCAAGATTAAACGCAGAGCCGATGGTACTATAGAGCGTTACAAAGCTCGTTTAGTAGCCAACGGATTTCACCAGAAAGCTGGAGTGGATTATAATGAGACGTTCAGTCCAGTTGTTAAGCACACCATAATTCGGCTTGTGTTGAGTCTTGCCGTGTCCAAGCAATGGCATGTGAGCCAACTCGACGTGCAAAATGCGTTTTTGCATGGCCATTTAACTAAAGATGTGTTCATGCGCCAAGCATCGGGATTCATTGATCAACAGTTTCCAAACCATGTCTGTAAGTTGCAACGTTCACTTTATGGTTTAAAACAAGCGTCTCGGGCTTGGTTTCAACAGTTTTCGGACTTCTTACTTCAACTAGGTTTTGAAGAATCCACATGTGACTATAGTTTGTTTGTCTTCAATCAACGGGGTGTATATCTTATTCTGTTAGTCTATGTCGATGACATTTTAATTACAGGAAATAGTTCTACTCAAATGGCTCATTTGATCAAGAAACTTGGCAGTTTGTTTTCCATGAAGGACTTGGGGCCCTTGCATTATTTCCTGGGTATTGAGGTCCAATATAATGGTGATTCCATGCATCTCAGTCAGTCTAAGTATGCCTTAGACTTACTCACTCGCTCTAAATTCATTGACGCCAAACCTATTTCTACTCCGGTGGTGACTGGTCAGAAATTAAATGCCTATGTTGGTGATCCCCATGAGCATCCAGACATGTATCGTAGTGTCGTTGGTGCTTTACAGTATCTCACACTAACTCAGCCTGATCTGTCGTATGCTGTAAAACAGGTGTGCCAGTTCATGCACTCCCCAAAGAACACACATTGGGCAGTGGTTAAACGCATACTTCGTTCCTTAAAAGCCACGTTTAATCATGGCTTATTGTATCGACCTGGAGATGCCACGTTAACAGCTTACTCTGATGCAGACTATGCGGGTAACCCTGATACTCGTCATTCTACTGGAGGATTTTGTATCTATTTGGGTTCAAATCTTGTTTCCTGGAGCTCGAAGAAGCAGAATACTGTCTCAAGATCGAGTGCCGAGGCGGAGTACTGTCAATTGGCTTATACTGCTGCTGAGATATCGTGGTTCCGGTCGTTATACCGAGATCTCCATTTGCCTTTGGTTCGACCAGTTATATGGTGTGACAATGTCTCCTCGATTGCACTTGCTTCCAATCCTGTTTTTCATTCCAGAACCAAGCATTTGGAAGTTGATTTTCATTATGTTCGTGAGAAAGTTGTTCGTGGGCAGCTTTTGGTTCATTATGTTTGTTCTCAGAACCAACTGGCTGACATTTTCACTAAAGGGTTATCTTCGTCCAGGTTTAAATTTCTAGTTTCCAAGCTTCCGGTTGTTTCCCAACCAGTTAGCTTGCGGGGGGCTGTTAGACGAAGTCAACCTCAGGATAATTCCACCGTGCATTGTGGAGTCCAGCGTCCTTCCAGAAGTTTGTTTCTGTTTTGAACTCCTCACTGATTAGGTTTCCTTGTTTCTAGGATGTATATCTGTAATCTTGTAATCCGTAGTTTTCTGTTATGGATTCCTTGACGTTTTGAAACTCCTTGTAAATAGGGTTTTCAAACCCTCAGTTGTTATCTTGTTGAGATTATAAATACAGGCAACCCATAGTTGAATGGGTATGCAAACAAAGTGAAATACCTACGATCTTAAGTTTTATAAACAGATCCGACTCATGGGAGTCGACTGCGTGTACAAGTGCAGGCAGCAATGGAAATGAAGTGGGGAGTGATGGGTTGGGTTCGTCAGGCAAGTGGTTCCAGGCGGCAGCGAGATGGTGATGGCCTGGTACGATGACCAAGCGACGACGGGGCAGAAATCGAGTTACAGCGACAACAAATAGCAGCGCATGGCTCCGGTGTGGCGGCTCCGGCGGATTGGTGAAACAAAGGTTCATTTTCCTTTTTTATTCCTTTTTCCAAACTATAAAACCCTAATCCAGGGCACAACGACTGAACAAACCACAACGAACAAGAGAACGTGACTAGACAAACAAACTAGTTACCAAGAACAGATTCAACCCAAAAGATCAAACTCTGCTCTGATACCAAGTTGATTATCAAAGTGTGCAATAAATAAAACTACAAAATAATAAGAATATTATTAAACAAACTGGGAATGCCGAAACGGCTACAAAATCTCAAGATGCTACATCGTGACTAACATATTCAAGACTGATAACAAACAAATATTTATAATAAACTAACTCTAACTCTAAAAGGTAAGAAACCGAAACCCTAATACTAACGGGTTAAGCTCAAAAAACCAAGCATTTAAATAAACCTAAATATTAATATTTTCCAATGGAAATGATACGATACAATAAATTAATGCTTAAGAAATGTCCATGACACAGACAATATTATTTTCTTTATTTTACAATGATGAAATTAGATTAACCAAAAGTTATTGCATAAGAAAATTATAATGTCTAAGCCTCTAGTGAGTTGCAGCTGCAAGTGCTGCAGGAACCCTAAGACTTCCAATATGTGGAGGAACCTCAGCTGTCATATTGTAAAGAAACTGGCCAACGATCATAGCACCTGGCCCCGACACAAGCTTTTCCCAGGCCTCGTCAGCGTCCTTGCCGCGCTTTCGGAACACCTCGGTGGCATCCAACGGGTGCAGATTCCACCCTTTGTTATTTCTAAGTCCATGAATCTTCTCCAATTGTCGGCATGCCAATTTGCACGTATTGTCCTTAATTTTGTCCACTGCTTGTTGTAGTAACCTGGCACGAGTTTCTTCATCCAAAAGTGGCCCATACCTGAAGTACTTATCGAATTCAGGGACCCCAATTGCCCTTCGAATCCCTTTCATGTAATCTGCATTGGGATCAAAGAACTCTCTCGCCTCATCCACCATTCCATTTTGAACCATGTGGTCAACCCGTCCTGACACAAACGAGTGCATAACGGGTACAGAAACATCCACCCATAAAAAGCAACATTCGTACTTAGACCGAAATTTATAGTCATGGTCATCGACTAACGCCTCGATGTAGGAGTTGGAGCCTCCGACGATGATTGGAAGCCGATCACGGCCTAAAACAGATTCAATGGCAAGTGAGGTTAGGTCACAAAAATCCCTGGCTGTAAAATCTTCATTAGGATCTAGTATCCCTAGCAAATGGTGCGGTACACCACGTTGCTCTTCTTTGGTTATTTTGTTGGTGACTATATCAAGGCCTTCGTAGACTTGCATTTTGTCGGAGTTTATGATTTCTGCCGGGAAACAGGTGGCTAGGTCGATGGAGAGCCTTGATTTTCCGGTCCCCGTTGCCCCCATTACGATCACCACCTTCTCCTTCTGCCGGCGGGGATTGAACACATCCATTCTATGATTATGGCCACTAGAATGGAACATGTAATGTTTGTATTATTTTGCACGTTGGCATCATGTTGGTGATGATCAAATACTTTATCCGCGAAAAGTTAAGAAACATAAGCAAAACATAAAATTATGAAATCAAAACTTTAAAACAAATCAAATTTGTTCCAAATTTTGGATTTGGTTTTAATAATTACCTTTTAAATTGGTCTATGAGACGCAACGAACCAAAGAAGCTAGAGAGAGAAGTTGGCAGACGGCACGGCACACGCGTATTTGCCCTTTTGATATAACTAGCGAGATAGAGAGAGAATGGATGTCACTAGTAATCAAAGTTCTGAGCAAACAAAAAATTTCTCAAAAAGTTGAAGCAACTCCTTTACACCTCGTGTATGAAAGGGGAGGTTTTCATTGTTTATATACGGGGGAAATTGGCAATTTGGTCAATTGGCTATGTACTAGGAATTAGAAGTAGTCAACTATATATTTTTGGGGAAGAGAAAAAGGAAATTAAAAGAAGTGGTCTTGTAATATATTCCCTCCGCAAAAGTTTGATTATTTATTGATTTGATTTGATTACCACTTGATGCAGGGAAGACAAGCTAAAGGAGTCTAGAGGAGACGCTGGATGATAACCTGTGAATAGCTCAACCAGGAGGGATGAAATCACTCACGTCTTTACGTGGATAGAACCTGAAATCACTTGACCAAAATCAACGGTATCACTCATGTCGTTAATCATGGATTCACTCACACGACCAAGCCTCACACTTGATTTAAAAAAGGAGAAAACTCTCTTCTTAGATTACTTTTAATTTACTCAATTGGCTTCCTTTTGAGTACATAAGGATCCCTTTAAATAAGGATCCCTTTAAATAGGGAGATTACAAAGCATTGGTAGGGTAAATATTTAATAGTAGGATAGTTACTAGGCAACTCAATTAAAAGAGAAGGTGACAAAGATTTTGAGAGATGAGAAGTCACTACAACCTTAAATATATATGTTCCCCATGCACTGCATCACTAGCTCCATAAAGAATATGGCTTACAAAATTCATGAACAAAAACAATAAACAATAGCACGTTAAGAGTTGCAAAGACTAGTTAGACCAGTGAAACAGAGTAGTGTGAACACTCCAGTTATACCCGAGTTTGATGCTCTTATAGATTAGAATAGGTCGTGTCAAAACGAAAAACAAGACAAAACATGATCGGTGGTTTTATGCATGAGTAGTAGCAGTACTGTAAGGTAAGTACGTACCACTTCAGATTTCAACCTCAAGTTGAAAATGTTCTTGCATGACATTGCAGTTGCAGAAAGTTTATGGATTTGGATCCTCACCAGATCCCCTTCCTGGGGATGTTAGGGATCAACAAACACGGATTGTTGATAAAAAATCGTATTGTCATAATTTTTTCTGTTTTTATATTTTTCATGTAAAACGATGTTGTTTTACTTCTAAAAATATAGAAAGCATTTAATTAGGACCCTACAATTTTTTATCAACAGTTCATGTTCGTTGATCCTTAAGATTTCCAGAAAATGAATCCGGCGAGGATCCAAATCCAAAGATTATGATTCTTAAAACGACATGTACTGACTATTACTCTAATTGGACTCTTCTGTAAATGCTTACATTGTAGTAAGCAAGATCTCATTCCTCGCATACAAGTGGATTTGACAAAACCAATGTCTGGCCCTGAATCCGAAACCCTAATATGAATTTCGATGTGATTAATCCCAAGGGCTTAACTAACTAGGTTTATATGGCACCTAAAGTTAATTATATATATATATATTATATACAGAAATGGGAGAATTTTCATTAGACATAACAATTAAAAAAAGAGGATGAGTCTTGGCGCAACATAAATATTGTTTTTTTGTAATAAAAAAACCACGGGTTCAAGCCGTGGGAACAATTTTTTTGCAACATAAAAGTAAGATTACTTACAATAAACATTTTTTTCGATCCTCGTAAAGTGAGGAGCTTCATTGGTTTGAGGTCCTCCTTTATAAAATTAAAAACAAGCAAATTAGATTAAATAAAGTGTTCCAATATCGGGGTGTCGTTTTAGGGATGGTCAAATCAATGGTCACTTTTCTCATACGGGTTTAAAAGAATAGGAGGCAGATTCTCTACCGCCCCACATCCGGTGTCCTCCTATGCTTTCTTGTTTGTATGGTCACGCTTAAGATACGTCAACATTTTATATTACTATTTATTTTTGTCTTATTATCTTTATAAAAAATAATATAAAATGTTGACGTGGCTTAACCGTGACCACACAAAACAGAAGAGCACAGGAGGGCAGAAAATCTACCTCCAAAAGAATAACCCACTTTATTGTGTAAAAATTTAGGAAAACTAACGAAGTCTTTAAAAAATTTAGTTTTAATCAAAAAGATAAATTAAAGATGTAAGTAAATAATATTATGAGTGACTTTTTAGGCTAAAAATATCTTTAACGTTAAAAATGAACAGTACCATAAGTGTTTCTTTAAATCTCTCCAAAAAATTTATTGGGACTCCACTGAATCTACTTAGTTTGGTCCTATATATGATCACAAAGTAACTTGTAAAAGTTTAATATAATTGTTTCCAAAAAAAAAAAGTTTAATATAATTTATAACACGGGTAACTAATTCATCATTAGGTTCCATTAAATAATTTTGTCTAGGGTTTTTGATTCGTAGAACTTTCTAGTTATGATGTAACATATATATGTGTGTGTGTGTCTGTGTCTGTGTCTGTGTCTGTGTCTGTAAACAAACTGCAGGATAGTGAGGATAAGTATATCAGATTGGTGCTATGAACAGATCTTTGGCACGCATTTGAAATGATTTGTCTAATCATACAATATATATGATCAGTATATAGGATAGGGTTTGCTAGCTTGGTTTCCACTAAGAGAAACTGAAAACGATTTATGTCATGCTTGATTAGTACATGCTAATAACAGTTTAAATCACTAGAGATCGACTAATAGTCTAATATACAGAAATATTCTCACGGTTCAAGATTTAAGGTTTATGACAACCAATCATGTATGTTACACATGCATTAACAACTAGAAGTCCACTTGCGCATGCGCATGGATTCTCAACTCATTATTATATAAGATAAATAGGTCAATTATATGCACTAAATAAATTATAAGAAATATTGTCAATAGTAATCATTCAAATGCATATGATATGAACTCAATTTGGAGCTTAATGTAGAGGTCGACTCTCAACCATGTGAGTTACACATGCATTAGTGGTTAAAAGTCATTTACTCTCACCTAGACTCTCCCACTCATTATTATGAAATATATATGGTCAATCACATACGAACACTGATAAATATATAGGGTTGTAAACATCTTACATGTCTTGTACTCATTTCACATCGATCGAGACCACCTGGTTTAAATCAGATCACACGCCCGGCCGGGACTTGAGGGATGATGGGATGAAGTTGAAAACAAAAAAAAGCAAAGCTTTTTAATCATCATGGATGAGAAACCTTTCTATATATACTGTATTAGTTCCATTCCAGACAGATATAGTTGCATCGACCATTAATTCATTGACACCCCATCGATCGACCAGTTAGATATAGTTGCATCGACCATTAGTTCATTGACACCCCATCGATCGACCATTAATTCATTGACACCCCATCGATCGATTAGTTTATTAGTGGCCAGATATCGAGTTGAAAATTGTTCAGAGTTGTTTCACATTTGTAAGGAACAAGATTTGTTATGTGTTTATATAATTTTGGATTACTCCTTATATTACCAATTAGTTTTATGGTGAAATCTCAATTTTATCATGGTATCAGAGCAGATTGTCCTTCGTGTGAAAGCCCAAGAGCCACACGTGCTTATGAGTCACCCACTTGTTGTAGCCCAAAGGCCACAAGTGCTCACGTATCACCTACTTGTTGTTCACGTGTAGGCTTGAAAATCAACCATACATGCGGGGTCGTGTTGAGAGTTGTCCCACATCGATGAGGAACAATATTTGCTATGTGTTTATATGGTCTTGGGCTACTCTCATATTACCAATTGATTTTATAGTGGAACCTCAGTTTCATCAAACAATATCGGTATTGTTGGAGTAGGCCCTTAGCCCGTCGACCTAAAAATTCTACATGGTATCAGAGCTAGGGGAAGGGCTCGTACTGCCACGTGATTGGGTGGGTCTTGTTGTCCATGTGTAGGCTTGAAAATCTGTCACATGTGCGGGGGCGTATCTTGTCCCACGTTGATGAGGGACAAGATTTGCTATGTACTTATATGGTCTTGGGCTACTCTCATATTGTCGATTGGTTTTATGATGGAACCTCAATTTCATCAGACAGTATCGGTGTTGTTGGAGTGAGCCCTCGATTCGTCGACATGAAAAATTTACATGGTATCAGAGTTAGAGGAAGGGCTTGTACTGCCACATGATTGGATGGGTCTCCTTTGGCCCTATGCTATGGGTGAGTCTCGACATGGATTCATGTAGGCCAAAGTTGCCACGTGATTGAGTGAGTCTCAGTTTGACCCCGCATGTTGGGTGAGCCCCAACTTGGCTCTACGTGATTGCCGATGCGGATCTTCACGTGTGACCCACAAAGTGGATCTCATGTGCAAGGACGTGTTGGAATCTCATTTATCCCACATCGGTCAAAGGGAAGGAGAAAAAGCAATTTATATAGAATTACTCTACTTTAATTAAAACCGAGACATTTTGTGATAAAATATCACACATGACGAATTGAGCAAGTAATAAAGTAAATATAAAATCAGTGTTGTTAAAGTGAACTATCGGCCAGTCGACCTAAATATCTACAAAAATGGCCTACGTAACTGCAAATTATTTGCTGCGGGTGGTGGCTGGCTCCTACCAACGTCACAGCTAGCATGCTAGCTCGGTCAAATACCAATAAAAAGGACTGCAATGATACTGTTGAAGCAGTGTGTAGGTAAAGGCGCCATTATTGGAGTATGACTAGCTAGCTCGACGTGCTCAAACGTCAAATAAAGCTTCATTTTGTACCCTTTGCAGAGATATATGTAGCCCTAGCTGACACGTTTCACGAAGATATTTTAAGTCAATCACGCTATAAGTTTTAGGATTTAGCTAGCTGGGTGAGGTTGAAGATTGTACTTGAGAATTGAGAGTACTTCAAGTCAGTAACGCAAATAGGGTTTTTGGGGAGATGCTGCTAAATGCATGGCTCGCGTGACGAGTGAACAGCTTGAAAAGAAACTTCAGTAGGCTACCCTGTAGACATATCGGATGGGATGAACTTGTCATCTAGTGAGACCAACATTGAGGGAGGTTCTCATATTTTTATGAGAAATGACTTATGACTAAGGTAATCGGAGTGTTCCTACCTACGTAGAGTTTTTCTCATATAATTAAGATATTGCCACAATGAAAACCCATTTCGGCATAGTTCTTTCTTGCAGGGAGATGAACTTATTATAGTCAATTGAAAATACCTTAGTTCTGTGCAAATGGGCTTAATTGTTGCAGAGGACCACATGATCCTACACCTGTAAATTAAAATTCAAAGGGGGGCATCAAGAAGTGCTTGGTATTTTGTCGTATGAACCTTTTATTTGGAGGACCACATTTTGCTGGCCAACTATCTGTTGTGGAATTTTTCAGGTCGACGGGCCGAGAGCTTACTCCAACAACACCGATACTATCCCCACTTAATCATCTGCACAATCCTTAAGTGTGGGGTTTTATCACAAAAGGTCTTAGTATTAGTTAGAGTGAGGTAATTCTATTTAAATTGCTTTGCTTTCCTTCCCCTAGCCGGTGTGGGACAAACAGGGGGCTCCAACATTTGTCACGCCTAGGGATGGGCAACGGTTATGGCGGGCGGGTAACCGTAGTTATTTACCCATAACCGTTTAAGCTTTTACCCGTATAACTGTTTACCCGTTGGGTATTTACATAAATGAGTATACCCATACTCATAACTGTTTATAAACGGTTAACCATATTCATAACCGCATACCCATTTACCTATAACTGCATACCCATTTAATCAACCCATTTACCCATTTACCCATTTTTAACCCCGTTTACTCTTTTTTTTTTCACCCGTCTACCTTTTTTTTAACAATTTGAAAATTAAAAAGAAATTTGTCATAATTTTTTTTAACAATTAAATACCGTTATAAATATATTTAACATGAATTTTTGTATTAACAACAATATTATTTATGAATATATGCGATGCCTCTCAATTATTTGATGGTCAATTTATTACAAGAATCATGCATGGTTGTAGGTTAATTAATATTTTTGTATACATACATACATACATACATACATACATATATATATGTATGTATGTAAGTACGTATCAGTCTGCTAATAAGCTAATTTGATAAATATTTGGATTTTCATTTAGAAACATATGTTCATCGATCCAAGCCATTTAATTGATTTCTAATTTTTGGGTCAAATATTTATTGAAAACTCAAGGCCAATTAAATATATATACGCATCAGTCGACAATAACATGTTTTTAAAAGATCAAGGTAATCATTATCTTGAATTGACCAAAGCTTCAAAAGACCCTAAAACAAAACTATCCAACACTCTAATACTTTAGCACATTCAATCACATATATTAAACATTGGCCCATTCTATCAATTATATTTTTCTCTTAAGTGAGGCATGTGTGTGTGTATATATATATTATATGGCCTTTTATAACCAAATATGTCTCGGGATACTAAACTTAGCTAGAACTAATTTTTTTTTTGTTTTACATATATTAAAATAAATGGTTAAATGGGTACCCGTTTATAACCACGGGTAATACTCATAACCGTCCATTTAAATTTCATAAATAAACGGTTATACCCATAACCGGTTATTTATCTAAACGGTTACCCATAACCGTAACCGTCAAAACTAAACGGACGGATAATCATGGTTACCTATAACCAATGGATATTTGTCTATCCCTAGTCACGCCCTTGACCATGCCTTTTACCACTCCTCCTGCAATTTAGTACCAGATACCCTTTATGCTTGAAAACTGAAAAATTGTTCTCAAGGTCCAGCATTGCTTTACTAGTTATTTGATCAATTTAAAATAAATTTAAAAAAAAAAATGTAAGCCAGGCTCAATGATGAGGATTGTTTTCGAGCGGAGGTGATGAAGAAGCTAGCCCTTATTGACAGAGTATGTTGAGCCATGAATCAGATTTTCCAAAGTGCATTGGGAGTTGGGAGGGTCTTCGCTTGTGTGCCAGACCGCGCCTGCGAAAACCCTCTCAATGCACCAGCTTTCTTTTCAGTTTGTTTTAGGTCCAGTAGGTTAAGATTAGGGCTGTGGATTGATGGAAGTGCCCAAAACTTTGTTTAGCGACGGTACTTGGGTAGAATTTTCAACCCAGACTAAAGAAAATGGCCAAAAGGTACAGCCCACTCTTGCCACCAGGTTGGGTATGGATACAGCATAAGGGATCTGATCTACATAAAACCGGTTTGGCAATTGGAACCCTTTTTTATTTGAACAAACGATATTTAGGTTGGATATTTATACAATGTATTCGGAGCTATGAGCATACAGTTGAACGTTTTTAATCACTTGAGTTAAAAACTCTTTGTGACCATTTATCTCATTAGTTTCGAGCTTTTAGTCTCAATGGGACTCGAATGATAAAGAACTTGAGGGCTTATAAGTTTGTCTCATCTTCTTGATGTGTGATTTTCTTTTTCATCTAATTTTTTTAGATTTTTCTTTTCGTTTGTAATTTGTCTTGCTGGATCTTACCTTATAAGTTTTATAGAGGAGTTTAGTCTTATGTGCAAACAATCTTTTTCTTGTATTTTCTTTTTCAAGAGAGGTACGGTCTATGTCCTCCCTCTCTTTCTGTATGGAAAATACTAGGAAAACTAAATTTCTAAATCAAATGATGTGGATGCTAATAATTAGATTATTACTTAAGTGTTGATTAATGTGCTTATTTTTTATTGGTGACATATCATTTGGTTTGCAAATTTGGTTTAAAATTTTGAAATCTCTAGCATTATCCTGTAGTATTTTCTTTTACAAGATGCATAGGTGTATGTCCTCTCTCTTTTCTTGTATTTTATTTTTCTTATAGAAGGTTTTATATCCCGTATAATGCCAACAATGTGTTTTACTGGACCCTTTCGTACGTCTTGTCGCATGCAGCTCTTACCTGACAAATGTGGCACTCGAGCATGACCGTCTAGTATATAGTGTACGTGTAGTCGCACAATCACATGGAATAACGAATGAACTTTAGAATTTGTTATCTTATAGGAGCGAAATTCAATAGAGCTAACTTGAACTCAATTCCAATCTTGTTTAATCTTAATCACTAAACAATCCCTAAGATAACAATAATTAATTACATAATCCTAATTGGTAATTAGTACAATGTATGTGAAATCTGGACCGTTTTGTGTGTGTGTATATATATATATGTATATGTATATGTGTATATGTATGTGTATATGTATATGTGTATGATATTCAAATAGTACATTCCTCAAACATTTGTCTAATTATCTATTTCATATTTTGGTTTGGGAAATTGCAGGGCTGTTGCATACATTCCTCTCATAGATTCAGAGTCCTATCAGTTCCAGCTTCTGTTCTTACAGTAAGCCACAATTTCTAATTTCCTGTTGCCACACATCTAAAATTTTGTTATAAAGCTAACAAATCAAACATGGGTATGAATGTTATGTAGTCTGTAGCACGTCCAAATTCGACATTTAGTGCATTATGTAGTGTCCGCTTTTCGTTATGTTTAGGACTTATCTTAGTTTTGACATTTTTCGTGCTAACCCCTGTTGTTGAAAGATGAGGTGATCCTGTTTTGTGATTGACTTGTTTTTCGTTTCCAGCTTGGTGGAGCTTATCTTTATGGCTTGCCTGTTTGATTCGTTGCTGATTCTGTAGGTGCAACATTAGGTGCCACAGCTTCATTTTTCCTAGGAAGAACAGTGAGTCTCTTAGGCCATTAATTTTATCAGTTCTTCTGTATGTGTGCTTGGATGCGTACGCGTTTGTCATTTTTCCTTGGATTTGATAGCATATTGTCATTAACAGCTTTGTACGCTTACGCTTATCTTACCTTTTTATTTTGTGCAGATTGGAAGATCTTATGTCACTTCCAAACTCAAGAATTATCCAAAGTTTCAAGCTGTTGCTATTGCATTTCACAGATCTGGTTTCAAGGCATGAGTTCTGAACTTTTTTGGACATAGTATGCTGGGATGTGATATAATGTGTGGTTGGAAGAAAGGAAATTCTTGCAGTCATAGAGACCAATACCAATACCATTGACATATTATTTATTCAAAAGCGTGAGATGGGTAAATGTCATAGATGATTAATTGATTTCTAAGTAAAATTATATTTTAGAATTTGACAGAGCCGTATCCGTAGCACATAATAGTTAACTGAGGGTGATAAAACTGTACACATATGACCATGTGAGAGTTCTTATCTCATGTGAACTTAGAAACCCCTGCGTATATAGAGTAGTTTATCAAGGGAAAATTCCCCCCTTGCAATCTTGAGACCTTCTAAATAGTGTTAACTTCCTGTAGGACGAAGTTAAAGTGATGTGAGCCAATGTGGTGTAAGCGGGTTTTGCCCCCGCTTGCATTTGATTGCAGTATTAGTAAGTTTAAAATTATGTTAGTCGATGTATCTGTTACCTTTACCTTATATATAAACATTTTATCAAAAACTGATCTGAGCTAATATTTTTGCTTCTATGGTTTTCATTCTTCTTTTGGTGTTTGTCTAACAGACAGTTCTACTACTTCGGCTTGCTCCTTTGCTTCCATTTAACATGATGAACTACCTCATCTCGATGACTTCTGTTAATGTAGGGGACTATGTGCTGGCATCTTGGTTGGGGATGATGGTGTTCACTCACTTTATTTAAATACTGATTTAGCCTTGAAGATCATTTTTTTTTTTATCAGAGCTCATAATTTACTCATCTATCCAAATTTTAAATCCAAAAAGTTCAGCGCCTAGAGCAAATTGGTTTTAGAAACACAATTCTATTAGAGTACTTACAAAGTTTGCACTGGTCGCTTTTATATATTAGCCCATCATGTTTGCACTGGTGTATGTTAGTACAACACTTGAGAGCAAGTCGAGCGGGGGCTCGAGCCCGATGAACCAGTGTCATTTCTTACCCAATAGCCCCAACTCCTTGCTGCAGCCCATGCAAACAATTGGGTTGAAGGGGGTTCGAGTGAGAGGCTTGGCTTGAATCTGTGGCCCGAGAGTCTGAGATCAAATGATGCATGGTTGATGTCAGGATGACGTCAGCCACATTATAAAATTAATAAAAAATGTAAAAAAGCAATAATATTTTTTCTCAAATAGTATAACGAGACCGATTAAAAATCACATCCGAAATTTAAAATAAAATAATTTTTTTTTATTTTATAAAATAAAAAATATTAATATTTTATTGCATATTACTTCATTAAAGACAGTTACTATTCACTGGAGACTATTCAATAGGAAGTTGCCCTAGGGAGCCTTGATACGTTGGAGTTGCTCTGAGGACGTTTTAGACAATACAGACGGTTGGAATGAGGTTTCAACCACTCATTGGGTAAGTGCTACATGACCGTTAGAGCTCGAAAATTTTGTCAGGAGTGCAACACACTCAAAGTTCCTGATCTGCATGGAACTGCGTGACTACTGCATCCTTTCCGCTTCTTCAATTGATATCAGTATCCGCTCGTGGTTGCAGGTGTTTATCTCGAATTGTGAATTACATAATTTTCTTGCGGTTAACATGATATCTCATTCTTCGAACAGTATATTTTGTTTGAGAATGAGATCATTTCTTTTCCATTCGAGTATTCATTGCGAAATTTCGAGTTCCTTGGTGTTACTTGCACGGTGATTCTAAGGGTTTGCATTCCTAAAGTTGCAAAGGCTTCATATATTGGACAAAGCAGTGGCTGAACATGCTGACACATAGAAGGCATCTTGTCCCCTTCAACGCTACCCATCGTAGCAGATTCATCCTTGGATCTTCAGAAGCGTCTCATAGTCCGGATAGACTCAGAGCCCGTAAGATAGTATCATGAAAAGAAGCTGCAAATTCGATGTAAAATTTTCATCTCGTTTACGTATAGATGTGATAGTTTTGTTTAGGAATGAAGTGTAATTGTGCATAAGAGAAGAAGGTTTTCTTCTCTAGCATTCATGTACATTGTACAGCACCCGAAATGATTTGTTTTCAAATTTACACAGCAATAACAAGGTTCTCGAAGCTCACCAAACTCGTTGCAGTTTGCAAGTATTCACATCGATATATAAGTTGAACGGTCTTTTTTCTGCATCGACCAATTTGCTTTGATCCCATAAGCTTGGATCGAACGTTCGACGTGGTGCCCTGCAGCTTCCTTTTCCAGTTGAGTAGAGTATCTCTTAAATGTCTCTAGAGTAACAAGAGTCATGGTGATGCTCGCCACCCAAGCCCAACCCCGCCAAGCCGCCAGCCATCTCGCCGCAGGCAAACTCTCCTTCTCTCCGTCTCTCTGCCTTTGAGATAGATGCTACCTTGTCAATTATTTTCTATCCAAACTTTCACCAACGGGTCAGTATTAATGTGTTCATATTATGTGGTTGGACATGCCAAAGTGACGGTAGTTTGATGTCAAAATTTTCGTGAACTAGAACAGATCAAGTGTACCATGAGAAGCCACTTTAACAGCTTCAACCAATTAACAACGCAAAATAATTTTATTTTTTTACGTGACATCGCATGATTAGTTTAAAACGCGCTACTTTGGCGACCCAGCACACCCCTTGAGGTGCCACGTGCCCAGCAACAATTTAACAAGAGTTCCGAGTAAAATTGGATGGAAAGAGATTCTCTTCGGATCCCTTCCACCTAATCTACCAAATTTAGGGATTCAGACCATTAAAATTTGATCTAACGGCTAAAGTTATTATAACTTTTAAAGTGAGCCCCTCTTTGTAGCCGTTGGATCAAATTTTAATAATTCAGATCCTCGAATTTAACGGAATAGGAAGAAGAGTTCCGGCGAGGATCCTTTCCAAATTGGATTACCATGTGCCGTGTGGCATCTCCACAAAGTACAAGTATATTCTGGTGTGGGTTCTCTCCTTCCCACTCTTCCGTATTTGTTGCGTCCCTCTTATTTCTCAGCGCCTTTGAAAGGAACGTTTCGTCGCCCTTTATCTCTCTCATCTCTTTTCTCAAAATCTATCGCCGCAGAAAAAACCCAGAAGCCCAGAAGAAGAAGAAGAAGAATCAAAGCCGCAAGCTTTCAGATCAGATTTGCATCCAATCAATCATGGCGACTCCCGGCGTTCTCAACAGAGAAGACGGCTTTTTCCTCAACTCTCCAATCCTCGAACCTCTAAATGGTACCCCTCTGTCTCTCTCTCCTATTTTATGGAAACGATTTCTAGCTCGTAGTCTGTAAAGTTTCAGACTTTGGCCGTTTTGGTGATTTGGGTGGAGTGAAATACCGTTTGGGGATTTGATGGGATTTGATTAAATTTCTAGGTTTTTGTGTAAGTTTGATTACCCAGATAGTGGAATGATAGTATCCTTCAAGATTACTGTTTAGTCTTTGATTAGTTTTGTAAATTGATTGTTAATGTTGGAATGCTGGATTTTAAGTGGTGTTTTTGGACAGGAGAGAGTGTCAAATCCCGTGGAATGTCGATTGAGAAGAAGATTGAGCAGCTTGAGAGCATGGCTGGAACGGTACTATTGTTATTTGTTTTTATTGAGCATTGATTTAAATTGAATTGCGATTGTTATTGTGTGATAAAAATTGGTTGGATACAGAGTTAAACAATATTATCTACCCTTAGGGGAGGGGGGTGGGCTTGGCCTCACAATGGGCTAGGAATAATGTGGTTCAAATTTGCCTTTGGCGATAATCGAACCAAAGACCTCTCACTTACAAGTGAAAGCAATACCACTAGACGGTAGTACTAAGTGACAACTGATTACATTTAATTACATAAGGACTTAATACTGTTTTGTGAAGCTAGACGAATGTAGTGTGTATTGGTTAGCCAACAAATCTTATTTTGCTTTAATACTTTGTAAAAAAGTACGAGCTTGAAGAGCGATTAATTTTCTGCAAGCATGATAAATGATTCTTTGAATTCAATTCGTGTTATGACAATTCTTTTCTTCTGGCAGGTTAGCAACCGACGGTCTCGAAGATGGGTAAATGATCGGATTTTGTTGGAACTTGTTCCTCGTCTAAATGCAGAAGAAATCAGAGGCTTGTTTGCTCCACCACCTTGGGGTACTCATAGAATCTTCTCTTAATATAGCTGTTTGATGCGTAGTAAATTCTATTCTATATGCATTGCTTATCCACAAGTACAAATGTATTTATCATATGAAGAAACTGTTGGAAGTTCTGTGATTATTTGCACTCACCTACATTTACTCTACCTTGATATTTATGGTTACTGGCTTACTGCTTTTTGAAAGGATAGTGCTATTCACACACCCATTTTCACCTCCCAGACACCCTTGTTAATTTTTGGCCATTGATTTTCTTCAATTCATTCGATCTGACAGCCAAAAATTGAGAGGTGTGTATGGATAGCACTACCCTTTTGAAAAATCTCATATCAAAATTGGCTTTGGTTTGAATTACAGGTGATGATGTACCGCTGTCAGCATTTTGCATGACTAATGTGCGAGAGTGGGATACATTTAGGAATATAGACATGGATAAGCAGGTCCTTCATCCACTCTCTTCATCAAAAGCATGTTTCAATCTTTAATTTCCTGCAATCCAATGATTTCAGATGCCATTAAGTGTTGGTAGAATTTGAATTAAGAAAATTATCCTAGCAGTTATATGAATGCACAACTTTATTCAGATTAGCGTTTTAAATTGTGTCATACCATTTACGTAGCAAATAATGTGCCTCTATTTATTTATAACCAGTATGTATATCTGCATATGTCGTTATAGGATCATTTTAGAGGTTTCGGTGTTGCACGCCTTGACTCTAGCCTTCATTTCATTTTGACAGGCTAATGTGATTGATTCCATGAAGGGCCCAAGTGCAAAGAAGAAGAGTCCTGTTGATGCTGATAAAACGGCCGTCTTGAATGCATGGCGTAGGGTTGATTGTCGAACAAGAGAGGCACTTCGCCGTGGCGTCTTTGCAGAACTTGTTGAGTTCTATGAGGTAATTGTAATTCCTTATGTTGATCTCATATGGGTTCCTTTATTTGTCTAGACACTTTTTGTCATCACGCTTTTCTCTTCAGCATCTTTGGCATTCCGTTTTCCATATTCATCTTTCTCTAAATCAAATTGTAACCTGACAAAATCTTTTATTGTCATTGAGTATAAATTCCCTTCTCTTTTCAGGAGCGTGTACGGGCTTTTGTTACGGAGACTGAAGATGGAGATGGAGATGTTCTCATCCTGCAGGTCCAAGATCCTCTCCGTCGATTGTTGCTCCATGGTGTTTGTGAGGTACATTTTCTCATTTATCTTTTCGTATGTATTTTCAACCATTAATTCATGCCGGATCATGGAGCTGTGCATTGAGACATCCACTAAAAGTATTGCACGACGAGATTACCCATTCTGCACGTCATCAAAATCACTGTTGGAAGTAATCTAATATGCATAAACGGATGTTTGAAACAGTTCTACAACTTGGTCTCGGTGACGGTTGCTGAATCGGAGAATGGGGAGTCAACTAAGATGACCAAGATAACGAAGAAAAAAGGGCGTCCGATCGAACTTCCAAAGATCACTCTGTCCCATTTCTTGAAGATGAACAAACAAGGAATGTGGTGATCCCATCTCCATCTGGTTAATGTGTTAATAAAGTTGGGCATCATGTGTTGTATGTAACCTTGTGAATTACACCATGTAAATTACTCACTCACATTGCCCTGATCGTCTCCTACAACTAGTTCATTGATCTCTCTAGGGTTTGTACTCTGTAAAGATTATGTCAGAATGTACTATTTCCGTCGCTCAACGAATGAAGTTGATTACAAGAACTCGATTTTTCGCTTTGCGTGTCGTATTTTCAACAGCAAAACTGATTGGCGAAAGTAAAAGTGTTCATACAGTTTGAAACAATCATAAAAGGAATTAACGTGGCTTCTCGATGGATGATGATGATTTCCTCCTCAAAGTAATTTGTGATTGAATCACGGAATTTCATACTTACGGTTGGAACTGTTCTTATTATAAATAACTCTGTAATATAAAAAATCAATAAAAGATGAGATCGGCCACCTTGTCTCTTGCATCTTAGGTTTTAATCTTCATCTCGTGTTGGACTGTGATTTGTCAGCAAGGAAAGAAAGGTTCTTACACGTTATGTGCCTACTATTTTCCACATAAAAAACAAATCTTAGGATATGATATGAAGGAAGAAAAATGCCATACGTCTTGAGATGCCAACTGTTTTCCACATGGAATTCATTGTATCTGTTGGGCTACGGTTTGAAAATGCTTTAGCATTTCTACTTAAACGTGCTTTGTGATTTGCTTTTACCAAAAGCGCTTTTGTATTGAAACTCTTTACCCACCCGCGAAGAGTAATATATATATATATATATATATATATATATATATATATATAGAGAGAGAGAGAGAGAGAGAGAGAGAGAGAGAGAGAGAGAGAGCTACTTTCCAGGTCTTTGCTCCACAATCATTTCGATTTTCCATTCCAATTCCATGGCGAAGAAAGCTGTGAAATACTCTGTGGTACTCTCTCTCTCTCTCCCCCCTCTCTCTCTCTCTCTTCTGTGTGTATGAATTGAATGTTTGAATTTGCTGGTTGCAGGTGGACGCGTTCACAGACTCGGCTTTCAAAGGGAACCCAGCAGCGGTTTGCTTGCTGGAGGAAGAAAGAGACGACCAGTGGTTACAAGCCGTGGCCGCCGAGTTCAACCTCTCCGAGACATGTTACTTGACTCGGCTCACTGAGTCTGACTCAACCCCTCGGTTCGGTGTCAGATGGTTCACTCCTTCCAATGAGGTATGAGCTCACCTCCCTTCAATTCAACGCTTTCCATTCATATCATATCTGTTCGTCTGGAGGAATATCCAGTGGGGACGTTTTCTGCCTAATGAGCACACAGCTTCGTGAGGTTGGCGCAGGTTGATATTGTTTGTCGGGCTTTTACTTATTGGCGGGTGGGCTGTAAGAGAAGGACATAATTAATTCTGAAAGGTGCCTTTGTAGGGCCTTAGGTGTAGCCCTTGAGGCTCGTAATCAAAATTAACTTTAAGTGTTCAGGTGTGCCACTGCCATCTTTAGCATAACAGATGTAAAACAGATGTTCAGTTGTTTGATTATATATGCCCGAAAGACCAAGTTAATTCTGATAGGTGCTTTTGTGGGACCTTAGGTGTAGGCCTTAAGGCTTCTAACTAGAACTAACCAAGTACTCGAACATATATTGGTTGTTTCATTGTTGCGGAAGTATCACAACCGTTATAATTTAATCGCTCGAGCCTGCAGAGCAGAATGAACTCAGATAGGTGCCTTTGTCAGGCCTTAGGTATAGGCCTTGGGGTTTCCCATCAGAATTAATTCTATTCTCAAGCGTTCTGTGGTAATCATGATATAACAGAAGTAAAACTAAGAAAATAGGCTAATTACTTGCGCCCTAAGTAACTTCGGACTTCTTGTTATCAAGGACTGTCGTGGATGGGTTAAGTCCACATAAAGTTTTTTTTATGCCTTGAGACCAAGGACTTTTAATTGATCAATCTTGTCTGCCCGAATGGTTAGAACTTAGAAGTCTTTTAATCATAAACTGGCTAGAAATAACTTGGATGCAGATGGAAATATACATTATATTACTAGATTTATGAATGAAAAGACTAAAACAAAGGAGTTCGGGCAAGGCTGATCATTTTGCAACTTCCTCTCTTTGTGATTTACAAAGGGTTTGAGGCCTAGAAGGGGAGATTGGGAGATGAGTTTATAAGAGAGAATCGATATTACAACAAGATTTAAATAAGGTAGCAGAGCTTTTACAAAGGCTTTTCTGGTGAAGGTTGATCCCGAAAAGGATGAAGGTTTGGTGCTGACTACAGCTTCGTATGTAAATCTGGCTTGAGCAGAGTTTGTGTATTTGTTTGTTTGATTGAGTGTCCTTATCTTTGATTTTTCTTTCTCCTTTTATAGACGATTTGGCTTGGCTGCCTGCAGTATTAATCTTGCCTGAATGCCTCTGAAGGGTAGTGACTCATCAACTTTTTACTTGTCCTGCCATTGTAAAGTACTTTTGGGCTGAGTAGCTGGCTAGTCTACACCACTTGACCTTTAGGTAGGTGAGCAGGTGACTTGAGTGATCTGCACTTAGTCGGGAAAAAGGCCTTTTCCGTCTTATGGGCTTTGGCTGAGCCTCGGGCTTCCTTTCTTCTAGACCTCCTTTTGGGCTAACTCCCTTTTAAGCCCAAAGTTCAAGTTTTAACCCAAACAATATCTTTACACGTTCCTTGGTTTCCAAGTGTTCAACTTTTATCTGGGTCGATATGGAATCCACCAAAAGATTTGAGTGTATCGAAAACAGCCAGGAACTTTAAATTTGTTCTCTTTAGGCTTTTAGCATACGAGTTTATTTGAAAGTGTAACTGGGTAGTTAAAGCAGTTGGAAAAGTGCTTTTGGGTTGTAAAAGCACTTGGATTTTATTAAAATTTGGACGTGCTTCTACTAATTGCGCTTTGAGCAAAAAGGTTTATGAGTGGAAGTGTTTTCTAGATAAGCATTTCAAACGGGCTTTTAACTCAATTTTCTTTAAATTAGATATTTAGAAATTCTTAAATCTTAATCTTAACCAATGTATGAAGCAGAAAGTTCAAAATTGTTGATCTTTAGAGTTTCCTTGGTTTCAAGTGTTTAACTTTTAAATGCACACGCTAACAAGGTTGAAATTTTAAATTTACCCCAAAGTTTGATTTATTAGAAAGTAAAAATAGAAAACTTCATTTTAATCCCTAAATAAGATTGCTTTTTCAATAATACCGTATGTAAGATTAAAAACTAAAAATAGTCCTTCATGTCAGATTATAGTGTTCCATGTCACATTTAATCATTTTTTAATAAATTTATTGCATTTTTAGTTTCCCTATTTACCCTTATTACTCTCTTAAAACCAATTAAAGAAACAATTATATAATTAATTTTTCAAGAATGCTTAATTAACTAGATCCATAATTAACATGTTTGTTATAACATAAATCTCCATGTGTTATTCCTATCAAAGAACCCAGAAAACTTAGAAACCATGATCAAACAAAAAAAGCCATAAAACTTACAGACCAAAAATCTCGTTGTATTCGGAAGAAAGAAGAAAAAAGGGGCTTTTAGATGCCAAATTGACAGTGAATCCAGAGATAAATGAAAAAAAAAAAATACAAATTGAGAAAATAGAATGTGAAATCACAACTTAATTGACCGTACCAAATTAATCGGACATACACTATATAGTACCTAACCGACTATACTGAATGGATAAGACCTAATTGATAGTACCTAAATGATTAAGGTGCATTCATATAGGTACTATGATTTAGGTGCATTCATATAGGTACCATGATTTAGGTGCATTCATATAGGTACCATGGTTTAGGTGCATTCATATAAGTACCATGGTTTATGTGCATTTGACTTGGTACTATGATTTATGTGCATTCGACTAGGTTATATGATTTAAGTACATTAGGACATGGTTTAAGTGCATTCGATTATGTAAAATATATGATTTGGCTATTTATATTTCCTCTATGCTTTGAATGGTGATAATGAATAATTTGAATTAGGTATTTGTTAATTCTTGTAACGTATCACTAATATTTTTTGAATTATGTTTATCATTTTAGAAAGTCAGACAATAATCAATGCCAAAAAATATAGAGCAAATTAAAATCAAATATTTAATAGGAGCATTATAGGAACCAAAAAAATGCATTAAATATTTAAAAACAAGAAAATATAAATTTTAATATTTATGCTGACATGAAAATTTAGTCAAAGGACTATAATGAATATATAATCTAACATAAGGTTTTAATTGAATTTCAATCTTTATCAAGGATTAAAATGGAGAAACCCCAAGTAAAAATGGTTCCTTTTTGGCATATGGATTTATTTAAAACTGGTTCCTAAAGACGCTTTCTAACAACGTTTGATGGAAAAAGTTGAAATTGCCTATGGGTTGAACAAAAAACACTTGGAAGAGGTTTTATTTAAAAAAAAAAGTTGGACGTGCTTCTAATAATAATGCTTATGAGCATAAGTACTTTCTAGAAAAGCATCTCCAAACGAGCCCTCACTCAGGTTTCTCTAAATTTTGATGTGATTATGTGGCACTCGACTGAATTGGTATTGCCAACGTCTTGATTTTGTCACCAGTGTATGAAGTAGCATATGCTTTCTCAATTGATCTTGAAAATTTGATTGCCTTTTGTGGAGGTTGAGCTTTGTGGTCATGCAACATTAGCAGCTGCATACACTCTCTTTAACTCTGGTTTGGTAAAGTCCGACATTGTTGAGTTTGCCACATTATCGGGAATCCTAAAAGCTAAAAAGGTTCCAGATGCTAAGACAGCCAACGGTTGAATACTCACAATGGGGAAGCACAAGAGTCCTATTTTGTTGAACTGAATTTTCCTGCCGACCCGTCTAATGAATTCAACTCTGGTGATGTTTCGGTAATCTCTAAGGCCTTAGATGGTGCTTCTATGGTTGAAATAAGGAGGACAACTGTCACAGATGATTTACTTGTAAGTTCTACAATCCTTCCAGAAACCTACCTTTTCAATTCCCTATTATGCTTTTGATTGATAGAAACATAAAAAACAGCGGAAAAACTTTTTATTTTATTGGATTGCCTGTGCAGTCTAGCATGCACTCTAAAGTGATACTGGTTTCATTTTTCAAGGTTGTGCTTCCATCAGCAAAAGCTGTCACAGATTTACAGCCGCAGTTTGATGCAATTCGACAATGTCCAGGGTCTAGCGGAGTGATCATTACGGGGATTGCTCCTCCGGAATCAGGATATGATTTTTACAGTAGATACTTTTGTCCCAAACATGGGATTGATGAGGTAAGCAGCTTGCATTGTTCTCTCAGCAAGTTTCTCTCAAGTGCCTGATACCTGGTGCCAACTGTGTTGCTATGTTAGATGAGGAGATTATGTATCTGCATCAATAAGCCTTTCCCTTTTTCTATTTTTTTTTTCTTCTGCTAAAGTGGATTTAAAACATTTGGATAACCTGATTGGCCTTTTCCTGTGTCTTTCTTTTCCACACGATCTTTGTCAGTTTCATTATTCTAAGCTAAAGTATTGGAATATATCTGACATAACCTGCTAACATGGATTTAAACCATTTGTTACATAAGTCTGAATACTGCTAACTGTTGTGTCAGGATCCCGTTACTGGGAGCGCACATTGTGCCCTTGCATCATACTGGTGCAAAAAACTTGGAAAGTCTGATGTTTTTGCTTATCAGGCACTCTCTCTCTCTCTCTCTCGCTCTCTCTCTCTGTGGTATTATAAATCTCAATCCCCTCATACGTTGATGTTTACTTTCAGGCATCACCTCGAGGGGGAGCAATAAACGTTCATCTAGATGAGCAAAATCAAAGGGCACTGCTGCGAGGAAAAGCTGTTATGGTGATGGAAGGAACTGTTTTAGCTTGAAGTTGGAGTTATTTTTACCTTGAAGTATAAACATTTGAAATAAATGACTCAATTTTATGGGGAAAGAACCATTATATTTGAATTAAATAAATTTGAGCAAATTAGTTAGGTGTGCCTTTATTTTTCATTTCAAAATTTGTATCCCGAGTTCTTCATCTTGGCATCTTGAAAGGTGCTACTGCTGCTCAACTTTCTTCTCAGCTGAGCTGCTGAACTCTCTCTCTCTCTCTCTCTCTCTCTCACATATTCTTCCTGTGTGTATATGATGCGTGCAAGTAGTGTTTGAATTTATTGCTGAAATGGATGAGTGCCGGTGGATGCTTTCACCGACTGACTTAGCTGTCAAGGGGAACCCAGCAGCAGTTTGCTTGCTGGAGGAAGACAGAGACGACCGGTAGTTGCAGGCAGCGGCCTCTTCTCCGAGACATGTTACTTGACTCAGCTCATTGACTCGGACACAGCTCCTAGGTTCGGTGTTTCCTTCCAATTTCCACACCTTCCAATTTCCACTCATAAAACATCGTTATAGTTTCTCTGGTTTTAAGTTTTAAACTCATATCACAGTTTATAATAACAAGGTTGAAATATAAAATCCACGCAATAATTCGAGTGTCTAAGATCCAAATCTTAGGCAGCCACTAATTCAGTAAAATTGGTCCTTTTACTCTTGCGGTGTATATTTACTTGAAAAGCAAACTTTTCAAGTAACTCAGGTTTCTCCAAGTTTGATATCAAGCTATCTAGTCTGAAAACTTGATTCCTTTTTGCAGGTTGAGCTTTGTGGCCATGCAACATTAGCTGCTTCATACACTCTCTTTAAGTCTGGTTTGATATTTTCCGACATTATCGCGTTTTCAACTTTGTCTGGAATCCTAACAGCTAAAAAGGTTCTAGATGTTAAGACAGCCAATGATGAAGCACAAGAATCCTCCTATTTCATTGAACTGCACTTTCCTGCTGCCCCGTCTAATGAATTCAACTCTGATGAGGTTTCGGTTTATCTCCACGCCTTGAATGGCGCTTTTCTATTAATGAAAGGAGGGCAACTATCACAGGTTTATCTCCACGCCTTGAATGGCGCTTTTCTATTAATGAAAGAAGGAGGGCAACTGTCACAGGATGATCTACTTGTAGGTCATGCAATCCTTCTAGGAACCTGCATTTTCGGTTCCATATTATCAGTTCAATCAATATAAGCTTATAACTTTTCCTTTCTGATGGTTCTGTTTCCTTCTTGTTTCATTTTCCGCAAGGCTGTGCTTCCATCATCAAAAGCGGTTGCAGATTTACAGCCCAGGGCGGAGCCACCAAGGGACTAGGGTAGTCCCTGGCCCATCCTAACTTCATCTGAAGTGTGAACCTCATGGAAGAAGATGAAGCAAATGACGTCATTAAACTGTTTTGATTTTAAATCGTTTCGGCTGTCTAATGAAACGACAAGTTTGGCAAGAGAGTTTTAAAAGAGATGTGCAATTTTAAATGGAAAAAGCAACCCCACTTCTAGTTCGATCTTCTCACCTAACAGTAATATACATCCTATAATTTTCTTAAGCAACCCACCTTCTTTATTTGCGACCTCTCCCCCTTTTCCTTCTTTTTCTACTTCTTTGTATTTTCTTTAGTCTTCCACAACCTACCTCTTACTTGGTTGTCTTGGTTTTTACATTTTTTTCTTCTTAGTATTGAATTTAAGAGAATTTTTTCAGTTTTGTGAGGATTACACAAATTGCATATGTCAACATGTTATGAATTAAACTTTTTACACACACTCGTATATATATATATATATATATATATATATATATATATATATATATACACATATTTGTGAAAAGCCCCTTCTCATTCAGAATTCTGGCTCCGCCACTGCAGCCACAGCCTGATGGAATAAAGTCCGGGGTGTAGGGGAGTCCTTGCAACAGCGATTGCTCCCCCAGAGTCCGGGTATGATTTTACAGTAAATTCTTTGCCCCTAAACACGGTGTGAATGAGGTATGCTGCTTGCTCACTTATCATTTTCCGGTGTTGTGACAAAATTACAACTGATAAAAATCTGGATGCTGCTTCTTTGTTTATGTCAGGATCCTGTTTGTGGGAGCGCACATTGTGTCGTAGCATCATACTGGTGCAAAAAACTTGGAAAATCTGATGTTGTTGGATACGTGGTACTCTCTCTCGCACTCTATAGCTCTCTTTCTCGCTCTTCATTCTTATCATAAACTTACAACCCCGTATATTGATACATTATCGCGTATGTTTAGGCATCACATGGAGGAGGAAGAGTACGCATTCATCTAGACGAGCAGAATCAAAGGGTGCTGCGTCGAGGGAAAGCGGTTACTGTGTGATGGAAAGAACTGTTTTAGTTTCAAATTCAATCTATTGTGTTTGGTTATCCTGCAGTTTTCTTCAAAAAAATCTGTATTCTGATTTGTTAGTTCTCCATTTGGCATGAAATGGTGCAACTTTGGACTTGTTTCCAAAATGAACATAATCAAGCAAGCTGTATGTGAAACTTGCTAGTTCAAGGTGTAGTTTTCGTTCAATTATTTAGTGTGCATGAAACACGGTCACATAATGTTATTATTCCACTCAAATTATAACACGTGAATTTGTTTATTTATTTATTAAGACATATCGATCATTTCGTGCACCTGATTATAAAACATTGAATGGCACACCATGTAGCATGTGCAACAGCATATCAACCGTGTCGCATCATACTGAAATGTATAGTCTGGTTGAAATAAACTCAGATTATTGTATTTCAGAGCAAATAATCTTCGCACATGAGCCGTTGATCTATTTGTAATAAGCTTGGTACACAATTGTGACTGAGTTAACCGCCATTTATAAATTTGTAAATATTGTGAAAATAATTTAACGGGTACGTAGCCATTTACTTGGATTTTTAAGTTACCAATTTGGAAATCATTTTGGTTCAATTCGGGGGATTCAAATCCCTCACTCTTCATGCAGATATCTTATGCACATGAATTCTTGATATTTCTCTTTTAATCTGCACTTTCACAAAATATTTTCTGCATATAAAAAATCATTAATACACTAAATCAAGACATAATTACATCCAATTTAAGATAAAGGATACTATATATATATGTCTGCAATTATAAATACCCTTCTCATATTCCTCATAAACTGCAAGAAACCTCCACCATCTGAGCAGAAATCTCACTCTTGATTTCAGGGCTATATTCGAAAGCCACCATCAATGGGCCACAATCACATTCCTCAGGTACTTTCCCATTCCCACCATTCCAAATGAACTTATTTGTATATATATATACACATAAACATACACACAGACACACACACACACACACATATATATATGTTGTTGCATGCTGTATAGAACTTTGTGTACATAAGTACCCTTTGAACTATATCATTGCAGACAGAGATTACAAAAATTAACATAGAATGTCGCAAATTATCCTAGCAGTCATATGATTGCAGACTTTATTCAGATTAGCGTTTTAAATTGTGTCATAGCAATTACGTAGCAAATAATGTGCCTCTATTTATTTATAACCAGTATGTATATCTGCATATGTCGTTATAGGATCATTTTAGAGGTTTCGGTGTTGCACGCCCTGACTCTAGCCTTCATTTCATTTTGACAGGCTAATGTGATTGATTCCATGAAGGGCCCAAGTGCAAAGAAGAAGAGTCCTGTTGATGCTGATAAAGCGGCCGTCTTGAATGCATGGCGTAGGGTTGATTGTCGAACAAGAAAGGCACTTCGCCGTGGCGTTTTTGCAGAACTTGTTGAGTTCTATGAGGTAATTGTAATTCCTTATGTTGATCTCATATTGGTTCCGTTATTTGTCTGGACACTTTTTGTCATCACACTTTTCTGTTCAGCATCTTTGGCATTCCGTTTTCCATATTCATCTTTCTCTAAATCAAATTGTAACCTTGAAAGTCCTAGGATGAGTACTAATTTAACCTATAAATAAATTTCAACTTAAAACTGATCCAAATTATGGTTTTAACTAATCAATTATGCAAACTAAATCCTACACGAATATTCAGAATAAATATAAAGAGTACGCACATGATGTAGAATTTAACGAGGCAAAACCCATCAAATACAATCAGATAAATCCCACCAAATACAATCAGATTATCTTGAAAGCGTGTTTTAATAATTAATATAGAAAGGATAAGTCATTTTAAAGAGATAAAGCACACAATAGATAAGAGACCTATCCCAAATACAAAAACATGAGATATCAGATAAATGTAGTTAGATGCATGCGTACCATGCTTCTTGATTCTTTTAACGAACAAGGTTTTGTCAACAGCTCCTCGAGTATATCCTTTCCTTAACAAATGAGTTGAGAGTTTTTCATACCATGCTCTAGAAGGCCTGATATCTCTTATAGTGTCGGTGCTTGTGCCAGATATCAAGCTGATCCAAAAGAATCGCATCTGGAAGCTGTCAAAAGAATCATCAGATATGTGAGCGGCACGGTTGATTTTGGATTACATTATTCCTTGGAAACCAATTCTGAAATTGCTGGATTTTCAAATCCCAATTGGGCAGGAAATGCTGATGATCGAAAAAGTACTTCAGGAGGACGTTTCTATGTTGGAAATAATCTTGTTGCTTGGCATAGTAAGAAACAAAACTGTGTTTCTTTATCCACTGCCGAAGCTGAATACATCGCTGCTGGTGGCTGTTGTACACAATTGCTTTGGATGAAGCAAATGATTAGTGATTATGGCATTAATCAAGGCACTTTTTCTGTTTTTTGTGATAACACTAGTGCTATAAACATTTCCCATAATCCTGTTCAACATTCTCGTACCAAACATATTGACATTCGTCACCACTTTATTCGTGTCTTGGTTGAAGAGAAGGTTTTAATGTTGGAGTTAATTGCCACTGAACATCAACTTGCAGACTTGTTTACTAAGCCTTTAGACACTCATCGTTTCGAAACTCTTCGAAAGGCATTAGGAATCTGTCGTGTCCTCTAAATTTTTTTTTTTATTTTTCATTTTTTTTACTTAGTTGTTTCTTCCTCAAAATATTGAAAACGAAGTCCATTATTATTTTTTAGTCTGCAAAACTTTTGCCACTACATTATTTGCTTCGTGCTAAACATAATATGTTTTGCTTTGGGGG